CTGTGTCAGGTAGGTTAACCCTGCAGTGTCTTTGTAATGTGTCTGTATTAACAGGTTAGCCTAACATCTGTGATCTAAAATCTCCATGTAAGGAAGAGCTGGTTAGAACTGGCTGCGTGTTACTCTTGAATTACAGTTCTGAAGTACAGTTTTGTCACGCATGGAGCAGGTTACCTCATGTTTTGTACATTATTTCAGATTTTGCCTTTGGACACTATTTAACTGGGGAGTATGTGAAATACAGAATTATATCAAAGGGAGGTAGTACTTGAGGTAAATTCCTTTCAGACAACGACTCACAGCTTGACCAAAAAAAAAAATACTGTATGCCCCTCCAACTGATAAACAATTTCAGTAAGAATGACATACGTTTCACTTCAACAGGTCAATTTCTGTACAAGAAAACAGACCTGGACATTGAAAGAAAGCAATCTTAGAGGGCTGCATTTAAAAGCAGGTGCTGCAAAAAAATTTTAAATAAAAAAATCTGAGCACAGTAACAAGGATGGTTGACAATTTTCCACTTAACTGTCAAATGTCATTCAACATAATATCACCAGAACACTCTTCCAAGTGCTGTTCACATGCATGTATGCACAAACATGTCCACACACATACATAACACACTTGTCGACAGACAACCACATTGTATAAGCCGCACTAGGCATTCCAATAGGAAACAAGCATAATTCGCCCACCTCTTAGTACAAAACATACCATGACACCGTGCCATGTGCGAAACACAGAGTAAGACTGAAACTTCATTAAGGTAGGGAAACCACGTCAGTGATATTATATATAGTAGCGAGCAGAATGGAGATTTATGTGCTAGCATCCTTCATTTTGTTAAAAATTAATTGGCCTTGTGTTTATACTTCATATATTAAGTGATGCATGGTTACATTACTGACCTTTTGTCTCCCGTGAGACTGCTTGTGTCTCAAAAAAAAAAAAACCCATCTCATCAAAACAGCCTCAACCTTCCAGACACAAAACACTGAGCACATGAGGTTCAAGACCCGCTTGTACCTTCTGACTGAACTACATCGTCATTAAAATAATGTCGTCAAATAAAAATCATATCAAAAATAAGCTCTACAATGTTGAATTCTGCCCACATAAAGCATCTCGGTTGTGAAAGCTATTCCAACATTACCAGTAACTGAATACAGTATATGTATGTATACCCTGTGTGTTCAGAATACGAGGGGTTAAAAAGAAAACAAAAAAAAAACAAACAAACAGAAAAAGCAGCAGTTTGAGGGTTGTTAGTGTCCAGTTTCACCATTTTGTCAAGTGGTTTTTGCTCGTGTAGAGTGGTGTCCTCTGTTAGTTCAACTAAAACCTGTCAAACTAAATCCACATGTGCTTTTCGCCCGGGGTGGCGGTCCCAGTCTGATTCTGATACATCTGTATTGTGAGCTGCAGAGCTGTCTATGGCCTGAAGAATTTTCTCTACATAAGGTGAGTCCATGAAAGCAGGCCGCTGAGGCAGGAGATAGTAATGTGTGGCGCTGGCCTTTTGGCCATTTTCCATCACAGGAAGGATGCAGGGGGAGCCCTCACTGTTCTGTCTCTGTAAACGACAGCTTACATATTTAGGATCCGGTGCAAAGCTTTGGGTTGGGGGCATCACCCCATTGACATATGTTGGGAGGCTCTTGGGGCTAGGGGTTCGTGAGCTGCCTCTGGACAAATGATCCCTTGGGGGCACCTTGGGTGGTTTGTCCTCATCACTATAAGCCCCAGACGAGACCTCTGCTGACCAGCGACGGTAGTCTCCCGCCTTGATTGTCCGGGGAGGGACAGGGGGTGGCACCTCTTGCCTATCAGTACTGTTGGTATGGCGCTTGTGGCATGTGAGGCGCAGCAGTGATGGCTTGTTGAAGGATCCAGCTGGGCCAGAGTGAGAGCGTCGCAGCCTCCTCTGAGCCTTGTCTTGCTGTCTCTGACAGATCACCGTCTCAGGTGGTTCCTGACGCTGCTGCTCATACTGTTCCTGTACTTCTTGTGGAGGATGTGTCTGATGGTGCTGCTGGGGCTGCCTCTGGCTTCGTGGTCCCAATGGACCATCATAGTAAGCATAGTTAATCTGCCCGCAGTCCCTGAAACTCCTTCGACTGTGGACTCCGTATCGAAAAGGGGATGATTTGGGACAGTGATCAGACAACAGGTAGCGGTCGTCTGAACTTGTGAAAAATTCTACCTCATTGTCCATAGCCTGCTCAGGGGAGATGTCTGTGTGTGGAGGGATGGGGGGCAGAGGCTTGGAGCATCGGCCTGGTGTCTGTGGTGGGCTGCTGCACACTGAGAGCTTCTGGAATGAGGGAACCACCTGGTCTTCATCAACAGGACTTGGGGTGGAGGGTTCTGCACTGCAAGACAAGGAGAGATGGGAAGGCCGAGATTTCTTTGGAGGTAACCTCTGTGTGCTGGGACTGTGTTTATGTCCTGTGACAGAGGAAAATTGAAAACATAACCACCATATTAATGGCATAGTACTCAATAACTGAGATTGGTTAACACAGCTGCAATTTACTTTAATGTCATTCGGTCCTGTAAAACTATTCACTATCTTTTCATCTGGAAAATTACATAGAATATCAGTTATGTAGGAGACTATTCAAAGGCACAACAAGTTGTACACTTCAGAAGACATGTAATGTGCAAGTGACAGATCATGCACTTACTCTCATAACTTAGAGATGGTGGAGATGGCCCCTTGTGTTGGGTTCGAGAGCTGCGATCTGTGTGTCCACTGTTCGTATTGAAGCAGAAGCTGTTGAAGAAGAAATGTTCAATCTTTTGATTAGTAAGGCTTTAAATTAGCCATAAAGCATTTCATTTTAGAGAAATCTCAAACTGATGTGAACTATAAAGCTTGAGCATGTCATGAAGATTAGAAATTTGTCCCTTTCTAACAGTCTTGCCCTGATGTAGTCCTGGCACCTGAACACTCACTTGTCCAGCTCATGGGGATAGCTCCAGGACGGTTTGGATCCAGCCATGCTGTGACAGTAGCTGCCCCGCAGAAAGGGGCTTTCTATGGGAAAACAGATCTCCTGTGCAGTCAGGCCTACTGTGGACATGCTCCACGCACACTCGGGTCGCATCAAAGCCAGGAAACACTCAGATCGCCCGGCTGACTGCCCCTGCTTCTGGTGTACCTGTAACACAGCCAAGATGCAGCCGTGACTGACAGCAAAAGGACGTTAAAAGCAAAGGCAGATGAAGAGAAAGAGAACATGTGGTAGCACAATAAAATGCACTCTTTGAAAGCAGAGCCAGTTTCTCTAGTGAAGCCAGGAATAAAGATATTAGAATGTAAAGCAGAAATCTCCTCCCTGCTGCCCACTAGGCCAAATATTCAATTGCTGTATAGCCTTGTCTGATTTCTATGAGATGACACAACAATGTCCTGTAACAAAGGAATGTCAAAAGCTCAGTTTGACCAGATGTAAGGACATTTGTTTCTCAATACACTCTGGGGACAGAGTACTGTGTCATATATAAAGTTTGTCATAGTATTTTACAAACCATAAAAATAACAGACTTTAATAAACATGCAAGAGCCCGTAACAAAGATCTTGTTGTAAAAAGGTTGTGTTGTCATTTATTCTTCAAATTCTTTTATACGGCAGCTATAAATGAAATGTTGACACAGCGGTTATGTGTTATGAAATATAAATAGTGCCTTTTCATTTTTTAGAAATCTGTACCTAATTACAAAGATATGTTTCATAAAGTGCAAACGGTGAGCGCAACGAGTGCTTCTATTCTGACTAATGAGATGTTACACCTGAGAGGTGTGGGAAAAACACATCAGCTATTTTCACAAACTCTGGTATTTTCAACACTGCAATGTCAGGTTTAAACTCATGAACCGACTTTCACATATCTATTCCCACAGATGGTGCCTCTACTTTTTAAAACCTGGCTGTGCTTTGCGCCGGTACTGCAATTCCGCTTGTCCCGAACAGCAGAGGAAGGGGCTCCTCCTGTTACTGCAGATATACCCAATGCTGCAAGAATTCCTCATGTCAAATTACCTGAATGTCAGTGCCATGTCAAGTATGTGTCCTGAGCTGAGGAAACAAGGTACACAATATTCATAGGGGAGGAAACCCAGCAGTATACTGATATTTCTGGGGTCAGTGATGAGGCTGATCAGATATTTCATCTCACACTGGATTAACCTGTTCAGTATGTAACAATCTCTGGAGAAATCATCTTAGAAAGTGAAGGAAGTGTTTAAGTATGCAGAGCCTTTATACTTAAAGTGTAAAACAAGCGTATCAAGGTTGGCTGTGGGTTTCTTTGTTCTGAGATCACCGTGATGCCAGTCATGCCACGTTGCAATAAATCTTCTAATGACTTCAGTGGCCCAGCGGTAGTCTTAACACCAGTCATTTTATTTTTCAGAATGCATGAAAACAGGTGCATCCAAAGCCCTGGTGCTTATCTGTGCTGGAGACCACAAATGAGGTGCATGCACACGCAGAGACACTCTGTCCTCCTTATAATGTAGCAGTGATGACTGAGAAGAACATGGCCCCCTCGTTCCTGGTCTCCTATGAGCCATATTTATGTGCTGCTCTGACAGCTGGCGAGAAACAAAGCTCTAAAACAACAGGAAGCTTGGGGCATCAGCCTGAGCCAAACTGCCCAACAAGGCATGCCACCCCTCTGCCCAGGGTCGTCGATTCGGTTCGGCAGGGACGGGAAGCAACATGATCCCCAATAATGAACCCCCAGGGGTTTGTGCTTCCTCTTGCAACAGGTGCAAAGACAGTTCTTTCTGGCACTTAAACATAGGAGCATTTACAGGCAACTGGATTAAACAAACGATGTGTAGTCATGCATTGCATTCACCCTCTTAAGGAGAAATTCTACTTCACATCATTTGACCAGAGAATTAGCTTTTTTTATGGCTTACTCTTGCCTTTTTGTTTATACAATAGATGGGCAGGTTCAGTCTGTGTGTGAGGAGAACACAGGCCCTGTGGGTACTGGACAAGGAGGAGGTCTGCTGGGGCTGACATCAGCAGATAGCTTGCCTTCCACACAGGACTGTAGTAGTCACACACAGACCTTGAAAGGAGTTCACACCCCGCTCACGACACCCCTGCAGCGGTTTCCAAGCAACCATACCCGCTCTACCTGTGCGGCAAGCAAACAGCGCGCACACCCCCTCACTTTACCGGATTGAGATAATAATGGCTAAATGCCCTCTAGCAGGCAGGTGACTCACACCACAACACAAATAATCTATCTGGCAAGGCCAGGAAATGATGCTACAGACTGAATTGTTACTTCCCCTTTGTTTAAGCGGAAAAGTCAGATAGATGTTGTAGGCTGAAAGAATCAACCAGACTATGGGATTGCAATCGGCAAAAAGGTTATGTAACGGATCAAATGAATTTATCCATTAAAAATGATATAAACATAACATTTTGAAATAAACTTAATAAATGTTGACAAACTGTTTCCCCAATTTCTAATTTATTGTGGCAGCTCTTCTTAAATAAGTGGCTCTTTATTTGGTTTAAAAGACAAAGTCATCCTCAAAATGGCTCTCTCTATCCATCCATCAAAATGTAAAAACAAGATTTAAAATATTAAAATAATCTCAGTAAGACCTGATGTTGCATCAATCGGTGGTGTCTGTCCTGCTGGCACCAACATACAAAACGATAAACAGGCGATGTAGCCTAATCCACACATTCCAAATTATATTCTCTACTCACCTAAACAGCTTGGCAGTTTCCTTCCTCTGACTGACCCCTAGACTCCTCTTTGGTCAAATATAGTTCCTCTCTTTGTTTGGGGGGTTTGATTTATGCCTGCAATCTTCAGATTTCTAGTGCATCAGGAACAGGACGCCTGCGAATTGGTGACGCTCCGGCCATAATGTCACACTTTTAGATAAGTCTCGCATTCTAATGAGCAATGTCTTATAGGCTTCACGCATTACCAGACGCGCTGTGGCTCCGCCTTGCACACTTGCGCTTAAAGGCACAGTCACTCATTTTCACCCGTGTCTCTGCAGTGTACGTGCAGGCGGACACTCTGGGTGCGCATGGATTGCAGAATCACCTTGAACATATAAACTGGACTAATTTAAGTACAGTGGTCAAACTCTGTAGACCAGTTGTGAGGATGCAGTCCAGATGATACCAGAACAATGGGGGACATACGGTAAATACCAGTTAGACACGTAGCAGTCCTGTGGAGACTAACATCATCGTGCAAGTTTATAGCCTTCAGTACTTCCCATTTACCGACCTATGATATATTTAAAATGCGTTTCCCTGTGTGGTTTCTTTAAAAAAAAAAACAACACGCATACGTGCATTTAAAAGCAAACTGCAAAGATCTGCAGTGCGACATAGGCAGTAACACAGACAGCAGGTAAAGAACAGCTGGAAACACACTTACCTGCATTCTGCTCCTGGCTGTACAGAGCCCAGAGTGTTTTCTTTTAGCTGAACCTGTTCTCTGCTTACCTGACACAATGTTTACCTAAATGCTGAATTAAGTGCCTGTGGGTTTAATTTGCTGGTTACACATGTACAATGCTCTCACTAATCCCCCATTATAATTTCAAGCACATTTTCAGGATTTGTCTGGGCCAGTTATGATCAGAAAAGGAAGGGGCGAACACTTTGCTAGATGTTTATAGTTTGGGTGGGTTAAGATGCTTCATAAGTGAAAAGCTCTAACTTCATGTGACAGATGGAGCAGGAAATATTCACCTATAACAATTAAAGGATAGGGAGAAAATGTGCAGCTAAATAAAAAGCAGACCTTTGCATGTACTCTGGCTTTGCTGCACTGAATTGGTTATCAAAACTAAATATTCCACCCAACAAACACAGTCAGTGGGATAAATAAGCTTCATGTCCAAACCATCTCTCCTCCCACTTCAGGCCTGGTGCCCTCCCTGACTGTGAGCAGCACTGTGATGTCATCACTCGCAGGAAGTGCCTTATAAAGTTATTCAGGGAGGGAGATAAGCACCCACAGCCAGATGCAGTTCTGATGAGAGCGAACTCATATCATAAAAGATATCTCTCTCAGGACAAATTGCTTTGCCTTTTCTCTGGTTCCGCTTTGTGACTCAGAGATTTAAGCCTCCCCATACAGAATTCTCCCCCTCAGAAAGTGATACCTTTGGGACATCTCCCTTTCAGCTGCTCTTGGAGTAGAAAGGAATTTCCCCTTGTGGTTCACACTCCAACACAATGGTGTACTCATGAGGTGACGTTACAGTCTCTCAGCTGATTACTATGACCGACAGGAAGGGTGGAGTTTAGTTGCAAACAAGGAAAAAAAACTATCATCAGTGTAAATGATTTATTCGCTAAGGAGGGCACAACATTGTTTGCCTCATCCTGCTGAGGTAGTTATATATGCACATTCAGCCTGTGTGCAAAGTTCAAAGTGATATAAAAACAGCAGGTTTAGTGTTGTGTTAAAGTGACGTCAAGCTGGATGGCCCGTAGAAGATTCTAGTGTTAAACTTGTGTTTGTATTTACTCTGTTTACACTTTTCCTCTTCAAAATAAAGACTGGATTAAACCAAGGTTTTCTGGCTGTCCCGATGTAAAAATGGCCAAGTGGTGATCAAGTATTTAGTGGCAACCAATTTTTGCAACTTGACTTTGGCACCGTTTAAACAGTAGCTTAAGGGGTCCGTTCACCCACATAACAAAAAAGATGTTTTTCCACTTAACCCTGTTGGTATATAGTCATGCAGGTATTTTTTTGTTTTATCTGGGGACAATCTAAGGAATTTGACAATATCTGGCTGAGAGATTTCTGCTGCCACCTCACTAAAGTGGCAGTGAGTCTTTTTATATGTAATTTTTCACACATGCAAACTACCAGAAACCCATTCGTAAATAAATATGATCCACCATAATCCTACATAATAAATTCTTATCACACTTTTTTGGGTTTTCCAAAACGTTCTGTCATATCCCTTGGTCGTCAAACGTTAAAGCAGCTCAGTTGCCACAGAGCTGCTTTAATTGGTCATAACAGGTGATCGGATATGAGGTGGAGATCCTAACCTCTCTATTCTCTCTTGAATTTGTTGGCCTCCATCAAGTTCACCTACTGAAATAAGATGTGAAATATGGCTGTATGAAGATGTTGGGATTAAAAATGTAGCTTTTTCCAAATGTAATAATTAACCTTAAATCTCAACACACTGCTGTTTTTAAATTCTCATGCCTGCTACTTTCAGCCGCTATTTAGCCTAGCTTAGCATAAAGACAGTTATTACTCAGGCGTTGGACTATTTCATGGAGTGATTTATCTGAGTTTCCAACAAGACTTAAAAAAATAGTCATGCACAATGTGCTGTTTTTACTGTTTGGTTTTTGTGTAGACTAAACAAAGATGAAATGTGGTGTCATTGTAATTAATGATCTTTAGTGTTCCTGTTAGGATGATTTTGTTACCTTTGAGGAGAGCCAGGCTAACCGTTACCCCCTCTTTCCAGTCTGTGTGCTAAACTAAACTAACAAACTGCTAGCAACAGCTTCATATTTAATGTACAGCCATGAGCGGGAACAATCTTGTCCTCTAACTTTCAGCAATAAAACAAATATTTCCCAAAACATCAAACTATACCCTTAAAAAGCAAATCACTAAAACTTTCATAAATAAAAATCTATTCACTTCCATTGTAACATAAATAATCAAAAACAATATCTGCACAAGCAGGAAAGTAAGAGAATATAGATTTTCATATTTATTAATTGTGAAATAGTTTGTGACTCAGTTGTAGAAAGGCATCTAATAAGTCATTTACTATTGTGGTAGAATGACAATTATTGCTTAAGTGTCCTAACAGTAGCCCACAGAAAGAATGCACTCATAATTTCAACATGACTGCATCCCGCCTTCACTGTTCACAGATGAGTTGTACGTTTAGTCGGTGCAGCTGTGAGGACCATGGCCAAAGCTCAGACTGACACATCGCAGCGTATTACTGCTGGATCGTGGTTTTGTCTGCCAGACCCACACACACTTGGCTCCTGTCGTGGAAACAAAACACAAATCCCCAGGCAACGGGCTGTCATCTCTCACTACAGTGTAAATACTACCTTATTAGAGGATTTCTACTTGCTCACCATACCAAACGTCTGAGTGTCCCCCAGTTGTTTCATTTATTAATCACTTCCTGTATTGGTACAAAGACTTCTGGGAAATGGAGGGATTTGAGGGTAAATTGGCTCATAAGCAGGTATTTTCTGTTTAGGAGCTAAGTGTCATGAAAAGCAGCCTTAACGAGTCATCATTGCATCACTCCTGGACATTGTTATGTTGAGTGGTTCAAGTAAAGCCACAGCCTGTGGTTAGTAACGGGTGGAGCGAGCCAGTCTGCCTCCTTGATGATGACAGGGTGTGTTTAGTCTCCAGCACCCAAGGATCACTTTAGACACAGGCTGGGGGAGTTATTGGTGAGCTAATCCTATGACTGAGATGGAATTAAAGTCATCTTAGTAATTATTAGTACAGTTAACATACTGTATTACTGGAAAGTAGTAAACACTGTATATTACATTCACAGCCTTTCGTAATCCCATACACAGACACCAATGCAAACATTCATTTGTTTCTGATGTTTGGGGAGAAGCTGTGAAAACGACAGCTGTGGTGTGGTGGAGGACGTCACGCTGTTCAGTCGTTGGTTCATGGCCGAGTCCACTCACAGCCTGCGCCACTGGAGCTCTACAGGATTGACTGACACAGATGGAAACAGATTCCTAACTCGCCTTGTTTCCGGCCTCACAACTAATATTCGGTGTACACAACATCAGTTATGTTCTGCCTACATTTTCATTTTCTGCTTTGGATGCATTACTGAATCCTTAAGGGTCTCGTGAAGAAATACATTACCAGATTCTCAGAATATAATGTTTGTATTGTATTTCAAACAGTCAAAACAGGAGTTTCTGGCGTTTGGCCAATGAGTATCCCAGGTTTCCGGTGTTCCTGATGTCAGTCTGTGGAAGAGAGAGTTGAGGCTTCACTTAATGTTACAATCCATTAATCTTTAGAAGCAGCTGATTGCTCTGAGAGTTTGTTCTTCCCCTGATTTCCTGGCTCAGCCTCACTCACGGGTAATATTAGAAACACAGTGGTCCTGGCTCCTCTGATAAAGATTTCAGATGTTGTCCACCAAGGAGATCAGCAGACCTGCCATCAAAGGGGGTCACTTAGGTATAAATCAACAGCCAAAGGGTTAAGAAAGCATTGCTTTCTAGGTACACTAACATGTGTGATGAAAGATGCAGTCCGCTGCCGAGCTACATTAAATAAGCTGCACAAGTCTTGTTTCCCCATTTGTCTGTGTGTGAGCCTGAATGAACATATGCCTGTGGCAGGGTCCATTGACACGGATTTGCTTATTCAGAGCAGTGTATGTACTTTGTCAGAGTGTCTTTTGTTCCACTGACACACAGATTTAGGACCACTGAAGAAGTCAGGCACACAACCTGATCTGGCAGCAATCATATTAAACCCTCACAACAGAAATACTTTGGATCACTGCTCACACAAACCTCTTAATGAGTGAGTCTGCAGATTCAGGAGCATGCAGATGAGGTCCAGCTAACATTTTCCATCCCATATGAGCAGGTTTGACTGTGCAGGCGCATATGTTTGGGACAAAATGTGACGCTCCAGGGAGAGAACTGTGCGTAGGTGGAAACACAGAGTCCTGTCCTAAATTCAATCGCATTGGTATGAGGACTGTAACAGCCTTGGGGCTACATGCTGAAAACTAAGCCAGGTGAATAACTAAACTACCGTCTCCACTGCAACATCATTTGTTCCTTTTTTTAAGAGTTAATGCAAAGTCACATTAACACATGATGGTGTACTGTAGCACAATGAGAGTATTAAATAT